AGCCATTACTGTTAGCACACACTGTCATTAGCCATTACTATTACCACAAACTGTCACTAGCCATTACTATTAGCATACACTATCACTAGCCATTACTATTACCACAAACTGTCAATAGCCATTACTATTAGCATACACTATCACTAGCCATTACTATTAGCATACACTATCACTAGCCATTACTATTTCAGCACCTTGGGACGTCCTCCCAACGTGAAAGGTGCTCTATAAAGGCAATCATGTTGTTGTTGTTGTTGTTGTTGTATTACCACACACTGTCACTAGCCTTTACTATTAGCCCATACTGTCACTAGCTATTTCTATTAGCCCACACTGTCACTAGCCATTGCAATTACCACACAGTCACTAGTCATTACTATTAGCCAATACTGTCACTAGCCATTGCTATTAGCCAATACTGTCACTAGCCATTATTAGCACACATTGCCACTAGTGATTACTATTAGCCCACACTGCCACTAGCCATTACTATTACCACACACTGTCACTAGTCATTGCTATTGCAACACACCTCTACTAGCCATAGCTATTACTACCCACTGTCACTAGCCATTGCTATTGCAACACATTGTCACAAGCCATCACTATTAGTACACAGTGTCATTAGCCATTGTTATTAGCACACACTGTCATTAGCCATTCCTAATAGCAAACATGGTCACTAGGAATTACTATTAGCCCACACTGTCACTAGCCATTACTATTACCACACAATGTCACTAGCCGCTGCTATTACCACACACCATCACTAACCATAGGTATTACCACACACTATCACTAGCCATTGCTATTAGCACACACTGTCACTATCCATTGCTGTTAGCCCACACTGTCACTGGCCATTGCTCTTAGCCCACACTGCCAGTATCCATTGCTATTAGCCCACACTGTCACTGTCCATTGCTATTAGCCCACACCGCCAGTATCCATTACTATTAGCCCACACTGTCACTAACCATTGCTATTACCACATACTATCACTAGCCATTGCTATTACCACACACTATCACTAGCCATTGCTATCAGCACACACTGCCACTATCCATTGCTGTTAGCCCACACTGACAGTAGCCATTGCTATTAGCAGGCACTGTCACTAGCCATAACTATTAGCACACATGGTCACTAAACATTACAATTACTACATACTGTTACAAGTCATTACTATTAGCCCACACTGTCACTAGCCATTACTATTAGCCCACACTGTCACTAGCCATTACTATTAGCCCATACTGTCACTAGGCATTACTATTAGCACATAGTGTCACTAGCAATTGCTATTACCACAAACTGTCACTAGCCATTACTATTGGCACACATTGTCACCAGCCTTTACTATTAGCCCATACAGTCACTAGCTATTTCTCTTAGCCCACACTGTGACTAGCCATTGTAATTAGCACAACTGTCACTAGCCATTACTATTAGCATACACTATCACTAGCCATTACTATTACCACAAACTGTCACTACCCATTACTATTAGCATACACTATCACTACCCATTACTATTAGCATACACTATCACTAGCCATTACTATTTCAGCACCTTGGGACGTCCTCCCAACGTGAAAGGTGCTCTATAAAGGCAATCATGTTGTTATTGTTGTTGTTGTTGTATTACCACACACTGTCACTAGCCTTTACTATTAGCCCATACTGTCACTAGCTATTTCTATTAGCCCACACTGTCACTAGCCATTGCAATTACCACACAGTCACTAGCCATTGCTATTAGCCAATACTGTCACTAGCCATTGCTATTAGCCAATACTGTCACTAGCCATTATTAGCACACATTGCCACTAGTGATTACTATTAGCCCACACTGCCACTAGCCATAGCTATTACCACACACTGTCACTAGTCATTGCTATTGCAACACACCTCTACTAGCCATAGCTATTACTACCCACTGTCACTAGCCATTGCTATTGCAACACATTGTCACAAGCCATCACTATTAGTACACAGTGTCATTAGCCATTGTTATTAGCACACACTGTCATTAGCCATTCCTAATAGCAAACATGGTCACTAGGAATTACTATTAGCCCACACTGTCACTAGCCATTACTATTACCACACAATGTCACTAGCCGCTGCTATTACCACACACCATCACTAACCATAGGTATTACCACACACTGTCACTATCCATTGCTATTAGCACACACTGTCACTGTCCATTGCTCTTAGCCCACACTGCCAGTATCCATTGCTATTAGCCCACACTGTCACTGTCCATTGCTATTAGCCCACACCGCCAGTATCCATTACTATTAGCCCACACTGTCACTAACCATTGCTATTACCACACACTATCACTAGCCATTGCTACAACCACAAACTGTCACTAGCCATTAATATTAGCACACATTGTCACTAGCCATAACGACTAGCCCTCATTATCACTAGCCATTTGAATTAGCCACACACTATCATTGTCCATTGCTATTAGCCCACACTGTCGATAGCCTTAACTATTAGCACATACTGTCACTAGCCATTACTATTAGCACACATTGTGATTAGCCATTGCTATCAGTACACACTGTCACTAGTGATTGCTTTTCCCACGTACTGTCACTAGCCATTACTATTAGCCCACACTGTCACTAGCCGTTCTATTCCCACGCACTGTCACTAGCCATTACTATTAGCACCCACTGTCACAAGCCATTACTGTTAGCACAAACTCTCTCCGCTGGACTTTCTCAAATCCAAAGGCGAGGCGATCCGCTCAGCTGCCTCTTGCATTCCATCTGCTGCACCCTCCCCATCTCCCCCTCTCACCTCAGCCGCTACCCACCCCTCCCTCCACACCTTCGAACTCCTCTCTCATCACCTACATAAAACCGACCATCTGCTCCCTCGTCTCCATCTCTACCCCTCTCCTTACCTCCCAGCTCCACCTCTTTGCCTCTCTACTCACAGACATCATAAACCTCTGCCTGTCCATTGGTACTGTTCCCATCCCATTAAAAAACCGTCAGAATAATAATAATCATTGCATTTGATACAGCGCTTTTTTCACGTCTTCTCGATGTCTCAAAGCGCTTCACAGAATATGCTGTAAGGTGGATTGACCGTATATTTGTGGGCGAAACGCAGCAGCCAATTGCACACAGCAGAGTCCCGCAAACATTCGTGGATCAAAATTGACCAATTTATTATTGTTTTCGAATTCAAGATCCTCACCCTCACCTACAAGGCCATTCACGGCCTCGCTCCCTCCTACCTCTCCGACCTACTATCCCCCTACCTACCCGCCCGTACCCTCCGTTCCTCTGGCTCCGGTCTCCTCCACATCCCCCGCCCCAACCGCCCTACCATCGGTGGCCTTCAGCCTCTCAGCCCCGAGGCTCTGGAACTCCATCCCCCAGTGCCTTCGCCGCTTCCTCCCTTTCCTCCTTCAAGGCCGGTCTCAAGACCTTTCTCTTTGACCGTGCCTTCAGCTCCCTTCTCGACTCTCTACCCCCTCCTCGCTCCCTCCCTTCCCTCCCCTCACCCTGACCATTTCCCCCCTAATGCTCGGGTCCTGACCCAACTGTACAGCGCCTTGGGACGTCCTCCTGACGTGAAAGGCGCTCAATAAATGAAATCTTGTTGTTGTTGTTGTTGTTGTTTTTTTGAAGAGATTATTATCAGGCGTGTGGAGTAAGGAAACTTGCCCAAGGTTTCCTGCCTGGAATTGAATTGGAATTGGAATTGGAAGTGTCTCGCTTGCAAGGCGAGTGCTTTAACCACTGACCTACAGGATTCATCACTCCCCTCCTTAAAAAACCTCCCTGGACCGATCTCTACTCTCACATTACTGCCCCATCTCCATCCTCCCTTTTCTCTCCAAAGTCCTGGAACAAGTTATTGCTACTCAGCTTTGCTACTTCCTTTCCCGCCACCCCCTTGACGAACCCCTCCTTCCGTGCTGCCCACAGCACGGAAACAGCCCGAGTCAAAGTGACAGATGTCCTTCTGTACACGTACGACCAGAACGCCTTCTGCCTCCTCATTCTCCTTGATCTCTCTGCTGCTTTCGACACCGTCGACCACTCTATCCTCATCCAACACTGATCCTCTCACATCAACCTTCACGGCTCAGTCCTTGATTGGTTCAGATCGTATCTCTCATACCGCCTCCACTTCATCTCCACAGACAGTTTCTCCTCCAGTCCCCGCACCGTCTCGTGTGGCGTTCCTCAGGGCTCTGTCCTTGGTCCCTTCCTCTTCAATATCTATGTGTTCCCTCTTGGTGACATCATCTGCAGACATGGGGTCAACTTCCACATGTATGCGGATGACACCCAACGCTACCTCTCTGCCTCCACCCCTGACTCCAGGGCTACTACTGTCCTGACAGAATGTCTGTCCGACATCAAGTCCTGGATGAGAGCTAACTTTCTTCATTTGAATGCCATCAAGACCAAGGCCCTCCTGACTGGCTCCATCTTCACCCGTCTTCAAGTCCCCCGCCTCGCTTGCCCCACTATTTGCACACACTGTGACTAGCTATTACTGTTTGCATACACTGTCACTAGCCATTGTCTGGGAAGCGACATGTACAATATAATACAACACCAAATTACATTTGTGTAGCGCTTTTCACATTTGTTGGGACTCCCAAAGCGCTGGACAGGATTTGCTCACGAGCTGGGGATCGGGATCGGGGAGGGTGGAGGCTAGGGATCGTAGCCGAAGGCGTGGTTGAAGAGGAGGGTTTGGAGACGAACCTTGACGGTGGCAATGGCAGGTGCGAGGCAAAGAGACTGTGGGATGGAGTTCAAAAGGGTGGGGCAGAGAGGCTGAAAGCCCAGCCATCGATGGTGGGTCAAGCCAGGAAAGGGACGTGGAGCAGGCCAGAGTGTGCTGAACGGAGGGAGGAGACAGGTTGATATGGAATCAGCGGGTCCCAGAGGTAGGGGGGAGCAAGGCCATGGAGGACCATGAAGGTGAGGAGGATTTCGAACTAGCCTCACCTGTTCAGGTCTTTGACCGTGTACTTCTGCAGATCGGAGGAGATGCCGCGGTTGATCCCGGGCCCAGCAGCGTAGCGTTCTGGCAGGTGGCTGGACTGGCGCTGCACGTGGGCGGGATTCCTCAGGGCTCCGCTGATGTCACTCAGGAGCCGGGGGAGAGGGCCCAGCTTGATAAGAGCCTCCTACAACAACACAAAACACAAGCTCCGTCAGCAGGAAGCACACTCTGTACACAGGAACCACGTTCTCTGTCACCAGGAACAACAACTTGCATTTACGCAGCGCCCTTCATGAGGGGTAGTGTCCTGAAGTGCTTGACGATGGCGGAGTCTGACAATGAGCGAGGGAGAGAGGGAGGTGCGGGGGGGAGACCATAAGCGTGAGTGAGGGGATAAGGAACCACACATTCTGTCACCAGGGAGAGTGGAGTGGGCGCTTGAGGAGATCAAGTGGGTGTTGATGGGGGTGGAGTGAGGAGATTGAATGGTTGACTGTGTTGGGGGGGGTGGGATACCCTCCCTTACTCGACTAACTGCCTCCCTCCCTCCCTCCCTCGCTTGCTTCCCCTCTCTCTCTCTCTCTCTCTCTCCCCACTCTATATCTCTCTGCACCCACTCTTCTCTTTCCCCATCTCTCTCCCCCCACTCTCTCTCTGTTTCCCCGCCCTACACACACACTCTCTCTCTCTCTCCTTCCCCATACTTTCTGTCTTTCCCCCTCTCTCTGTTCCCCCACACTTTCTCTCTCACTCACTCACTCCCTCCCACACCCCACCCCAACGCCCCTGCCCCACCCCGGGGCTGAAGGTCTCACCTTGCTGAGCTGAGGCAGCACCTCCCAGAGGAGGCAGTGGAGGGTGGAGAGCTCACGGCCCAGGTCGATGTAACCCTCGAAGCTGGCTGCATTGGTGACGGTGTCCGGGTTGGAGATTTCCATCAGGAACTGCTGCATGCTGCCCCACTCCAGCTCCAGGAACTCGTTCATAAAGGACATGTACTCTTCCTTACTGCCGAACCTCCACACAGCCAGAGACAGAGACACACACAGAGAGAGAGAGACAGAGAGCGTGACAGCCCCTGGGCCAACAACAACAATTTGCCTTTACGCAGCGGCTTCCACACTGACCGGACAGCGTCTCAGAGCGCTTAACGGGGGCGGCGTCCGATGTCGAGCCGGGGGGAGAGGGGGAAGGTGACCACGGGCACGATCGAAGAGAAAGGAGCCCTAGAGAGTAGAATTTGGGATCCTCGTCCTCATTTTTATAGCCTCCCGCAGCCTTGCTCTGGTGACATATTAACACCATACCAACCGGTCACTTCGCGACCCCCCTCCCCCACAACCACCACCCGCCCTGGCCTTCTCCGCCATCGAAGGTCGGGCCTTCAGCCTCTCTACCCCAACCCTCTGGCACTCCATCCGGTGCCCCTCCATTTCGCCCCTCCCTTGCCTCTTTCAAGGTCCGTCTCAAGACCTTCTTCTTCCCGTTCCTGTAGCTCAGTGGTTAGATCGCTCGCATCACGAGTGAGAGACCTGGGTTCGGTTCCCCGGGCAAAGTGAAACATTGGACAAGTTTCCTTACTCCACACACGCCTCTGTTTACTCAGCAGTAAGTGGGAACCCGGTTGTTAGTCGATTGGTGGATCGCTTTTCCGGGGGTGATCATCCCTTCGGAAAAAAAATGGGTCACTCAATTCACGACCGTTTTTGGGACGCTGCTGTGCACAATTGGCGTTGTGCGTTTCGCCCACAAAACGCGCAGTCAATTCACTTCGTGGTACGTTCGGTGAAGCGCTTTGAGACGTCTCGAAGACGTGATAAGGCGCTGTATCCAATGCGAGGATTATTATTATTATCTCTTCTCATCGCAGAGGGTCTGCCTGGGTTAATCAGTAGCGCCTTCGCCTCTAAGTCAGAAGATTCAAGTGGGGGAAGGGAACGCTAGCTTGTCTGAGGTGCACCCCCCTCCCCCACATGTCTCCCCAACCACCCCACCCCACAGTGACATTCCCCCCAGGACTGGATCCATTCACATTTTCAAGATGGAGGTAGATAAATATCTGCTTATCTACCTTAAGGGGCGGGTAACTGGACTTGAGGTATAGATCAGCCATGATCTTAAAAAATAGCGGAACAGGCTTGAGGGGCTGAATGGCCTACTTCTGTTTCTATATCTGTGTATCTATGACTCACTTGGTGAAGTTGGCCAGGTTTTGGATGACCTTTGCAATGAGCGTCAAGGTTCGGGAGGTGCGGTCGTCCGGGTATTCCTGCATGAGGTTGAAGAGACTCGGGGACATGATGGCGGGGCACAGGAAGCGGAGGAAGAGGGAGGAGCTGATCAGACGGTCCGCGATGTCCTCTCGTCCCCGCTCCGCGCAGCGCTGCCGCCACGAGGCGAACACCTCCTTCAGCTCCCGGGGAAACACACTGTGAACAGAGAGTGGGGGTGGGGGGAGTGGACACATATAAGCACGGGGCGGCACGCAGTGGCCATGTTCCAGGCTTACAATGGGCCTCGGAAAGGGAGAGAGGAATGAAGAGAAGAGTGAGTGGGACAGCGAGGAAGAGGAATGAAAGGAGAGGGTAGCAGGAGAGAGAAAGAGGAAGAGAAATGAAAGGAAGACGAAGAGAGAGAGAGAGAGAGAGGGGGGAGCGCGTGAGAGAGAGGGAAGAGAGATGGAGCAGAAAGGAGAGAAATGGAGTCAAAGGAAGGCCGAAAGAGGGGGGAAGAAGAGAGAGATGGCATGGGAGTGAAATGCAGAGAGAGAGAGATGGACGGAAAGAAAGAAGGAGAGAGCGCGAAAGAACTGGGGAACAGTTACTTGAATTCTAGTGTCTCCGCTCCCAGTGACTCTCCCCTCAGTGTGTCCCCTCCCAGTGTTGCTCTCCCCAGTGTCTCTCCTCCCAGTCTCTCTCCCCCCAGTGTCTCTTGCCCAGTAACTCTCCCTCAGTGTCGCTCCTCCAGTGCCTCTCCGCCCAGTGTCTCTCCCACAGTGTCTCTCCCAGTGCATCTCCCCCAGGTCTCTCCACCCAGTGTCTTTGCCCCAGTGTCTCTCCCCCAGGGTCTCTCCTCCAGAGTCTCTCCCAATGTCTCTCCTCCAGAGTCTCTCCCAGTGCCACTCCCCCAGTGCCTCCCCCAGGGTCTCTCCCCCAGTGTCTCTCCCCCGTGTTTCTCCCCAGTCTCCCCCTCAGTGTCCTCCCCAGTGTCTCCCCCCCCAGTGTTTCTACCCCCATTGTCTCTCCCCCCAGTTTCTCCCCACAGTGTCTCCCTCAGTGTCTCTCTAAGTGTCTTTCCCAGTGACCCCCTGATCTCCACAGTGTTGATTTCACCCCCCCCACCCCCTCGCTATGGCAGTGACACTGACCAGTGGGAGTTGACGATCTTACAGAGCGCCAGCTCACAGCACATCCTCAGGTTGGCCTGATGGTCGGCCAGCGAGGAGAACGAACATTTCACTGGGTCCACCTCACAATTCTCCTCCGACTCATAGAGAGCTCGGATAAACTCACCTGTAACACAGCGATCAGCACTCAGTCACTACACCACACTGACACACCTCACACACACTAACATAGTCGCTACACCACACCTCACACACTAACATAGTCGCCTACACCACACCTCACACACTAACAAAGTGCTCAGGCACTACACCACAACTCACACACAAACACAGCACTCAGTCACTGCACCACACTGACACACCTCACACACTAACACAGAGAGACAGTCACTACACCACTGACACGCCTCACACACTAACACAGTGAGACAGTCACTACACCACCCTGACACACCTCACACACTAATACAGAGACACAGTCACTACACCACACTGACCACCTCACCCACTGTAACACAACAAGTTGCATTTATAAAGCACGATTCACAACGCCCTAAAGTGCTAAGAGTGTCAAGGATTTGCACCCAAGCTTCGGGCTGGGGTCAAGTGGGGTGGAGGGAAAGGGTGGGGACGCGGTGGGGGGAGAATGACCAAAGTCATGGTTGAAGAGGAGGGTCTTAAGACGGCCCTCGAAGGAGGTGCGGGAGGGAGATGAGGCAAAGGGACTATGGGATGGAATTCCAGAGGGCGAAAGGCTAAAGGCTCGACCTGCATTGGTGGAGTGGGCAGGGCAGGGCAGGGCAGGGCAGGGCAGGGCCGGGCACATGGAGCAGGTCATTGCCTGGCGAGCGGAGAGTGGACAGGTAGGTACGGTTTTAAGAAGATGACGGAGGTCATCTTACTCCGCACACTCACAAACACATCCAGAAACACATTCGCACACCTTTACCCACTCACTCACTGTCACACCCACTCACAAATCCTTGCACCTCCCACTCACACAAACACTCCCCACCATTGAGGGGAGGAAGAGGAAAAGAGGAAGGTCTTGATTTGGACCTTGAATGAGGTGCGGGAGGGAACTGGCAAGTGGGAAGCAACTCCGGGACGGAGTTTGAGGTGGGGAGGGGGACATAGGCTCAAAACCTGAAGACAAATGGTAGGGCCGGGAATGTGAAGCCGGATGGAGTAGGCGGGTCAGGATGGTTTGAGAAAGCCACAGAGGGAGGATGAGGGCGAGACAATGGAAGGCCTTAAAGGCGAGGACCTCGAAGTTGATCCTCTGGGGGATGGGGAGCCAGAGAAGCCGGGCGGGCACGGGGTTGATCGGGTCATGGGAGCTCAGTGTGGCGGAGGACACGAGATACGGAGTTCTGACACCTTTGCAGCTGGTGGAGGGAAGAGTTGGGAAGTCCAACGAGCAGGGAGTTAGTGTAGTCGAGCCTGGATGTGATGAAAGAGTGGAATGAGGGTCTTGGTGGCCCGAGGGGAGAGGTAGTGATGGATGCAGGCGATATTATGCAGGTGGGGGAAGGCAGAATGGTTTAGAGCACGGGTGTGGGGATTAACACATACCTACACTCAAAGACTCATTTACTCACTCGCACACAAATCTACATTACCACTCATGTTCACTCGCTCCCCTGCTCGCTCGTTCGCTCACTCACTCTCTCACTTACTCACTCACTCACTCACAGGGAGGAATCTATACACTGACAATGTCTATCAGTCCTCGCTCCTTTAGAAAAATATATGTCGATTGACTGGTGTTGACCACTGACAGTTGATCCCTTAAAGAGATAGGGTCAGTGGCCTTTCCCATAGTAAGCCCCGTGAGCCTATCACCTCCATCCTCGCCCGACTTCACTGGCTCCCCATCCCCCAAGGGATTGAGTTCAAGATCCTTGCCCACACCTTGAAAGCCCCCAAGACACCAGTACACAGACTTGTGTTTGGGGGGGGGGTAGGGGGGTCGGAACTGCATCTGCGTTGAGGAACCTGGGGTGTTGGGCTAGATATTCGGGGGGGAGGGGGCTGGGGCAAGAAATTGGGGGTTGGGGTGAGACTGGGTAGGTGGGGGTAAGATATTGGGGGGTAGTTAAGAGTGAGACATCATAGAATCATAGAATTATGCAGCAAAGCCGCCATTCGGCCCATCTTGTCTGTTCCGGCTCTTTGAAAAGAACTATCCAAATCAATCCCACTCCCCGCGCTCTCCCCATAGCCCTGCAAACTTGTCCTCCCCAAATAATAATCTACTTCTCTCTTAAAAGTTGTTATCGAATTAGCTTCCACCAGCCTTTCAGGCAATGCATTCCAGATCCAAACAACTCGCAGTGTGAAAAAATGTCTCCTCAGCGCCCCTCTGTTTTTTTTTAACAACTATTTTAGTCCTCGGGTTACCGACCCACCCGCCAGTGGAAAATAGTTTCTCCTTGTTCACCCTCTCGAATCCCCTCATCATTTTGAAAACTTCTATGAAGTCTCCTCTTAACCTTCTCTGCTCCAAGGAGAATAACCCAAGTTTCTCGAGCCTCTCCTGATAACTGAAGTCCCTCATTCCTGGTACCGTCCTGGTAAATCTCCTTTGCACCCTCTCCAATGCCATGACATCCTTCCTAAAGTGTGGTGCCAGAGCTAAACACAGTCTGTAGCTGAGGCTTAACCAGTGTTTTCTAAAGGTTCATCATAACTTCCTGACTTTTGTATGCTATGCCCCTATTTATAAAGCCGAGTATCCTGTACGCTTTTTCAACAGCTTTATCTACCTGTTCTGCCACTTATATGAGCCCTCAGGTCTCTCTGTTCCTTCATCCCCTTTAAGATTGTACCATCAGCTTATATCGCCTCTCCTCATTCTTCCTCCTAAAATGAATCACTTCTCATTTCTCCACATTAAACTTCATCTGCCACCTGTCTGCCCATTTTATCAGTCTGATATGTCTATTTGTAGTCTGTTACTATCCTCTTGACTGTTTACTACTTTTCCTAGATTAGTATAATCTGCAAACTTGGAAATTGTGCTCCCTATACCCAAGTCCAGGTCATTTATATAGATCAAAAACAGCGGTGGTCCCAATACTGATCCCTGGGGGACATGACTGCAGAATTCCCTCTTGTCAGAAAAACAACTGTTCATCACCACTCTCTACTTTCTGTCTCCCAGCCAGTTTGGTATTCATGTTGCCACTGTTTCCTTAATACCGTAGGCTTCTATTTTGCTTACAAGTCTCTTATGTAGCACTTTATCAAATGCCTTTTGAAAATCCATATAAACTACATCAACTGCACTACCTTCATCCACCCTCTCCGTTACTTCATCAAAAAACTCTATCAGGTTTGTTAGATATAATTTGCCTTCAACAAATCCGAGTTGGTTGTCCTTTATTAACCCATATTTTTCAAAGTGAAAATTTATTTTGTCCCGGATTATAGTTTGCAGAAGTTTCCCCACTACTGGCGTTAGGCTGACTGGCCTGTAGTTCCCTGGTTGATCCTTCTGCCCCTTTTATACGGTGGGGGGGTGGGGGGTAACATTAGTAACCCTCCAGTCCTCAGGCACCACCCTGGTATCCAAGGAGGATTGAAAGATTGCGGCCAGAGCCTCTGTGTTTTCCACCCTTACTTCCCTCAGTAACCGAGGATGAATCCTGCCTGGACCGGGTAACTTATCTACCTTGAGCAACGACAACCTTTTTAGTTTACATCGGGGAGATTGGCGTGAGATATGGGGGGAGGATTGAGGTGAGATATGGGGGGTGGTGGGGTGAGATATTGCGGGTTTGGGATGAGATAATCAGGGGATTCATGTGAGATATCGGGGGGGTTTGGGCTGAGATATCGGGAAGCAGGTTGGGGTGACATATTGGGGTGAGATATCAGGATGTGGTGAAATATGGGGCGTTGGGGTGAGATATCACGGGGGTATGTGGTGAGATATTGCGGTGTTGTGGTGAGATATGGGGGTTTGGAGTGAGATATGGGGTGGTTGGGGTGAGATATCGGGATGGGGGTTGTTGTGAGATATGCCGAGGTTGAGGTGAGATTTCAGGGGGTTCGGGTGAGATATTGGGGGGTTAGGCGAGATATCAGAAAGTTGGGATGAGATATCGGGGAGGTCCGGTGAGATGTCGGACGAGGTGGTGAAATATTGGGGATTTTGGATGAGTTATTGGGGGGGGGTGGGGTGAAATATTTGGGGGGGGTTGGGGTGACATATGGGAGGGGTTGGGTTTGGGATGAGAAATCAGGGGGGTTGGGCTTAAGATATCGCGGGGGGTTGGGGTGATATATCGGGGAGAGTGTTGGGATAAGAAATTGGGGGGTGTTGGGGTGAGATATTGGGGTGGGGGTTGATATCGGGGGCAGGGGAGCTATTGGGGTGTGGATGGGCTGAAATATTGCGGGGCAATTGGGTTGAGATATTGGGGGCATGATATATTAGTGGGTTGGGGTGTATATATCGAGGGGTTTGTGGTGAGATATTGGGGGGGGGTGGGGTGATATTTAGGGTGAGATATCGGGGGGTGGGGATATCAAGGTGGAGTTGTTGTGAGATATGGGGGGGGGAGTTTGTGGTAACATATGGGGGGGGTTAGGGTGAGATAATGGGGGTTGGGTGAGATAGCAGGTGGGGGTTGTGGTGAGATATGGGGGAGTGGTTGGGGTGAAATATTGGGAAGTTGGAGTGAGATTTTGGGAGGTTGGGGTGGGATGGGGGTTGGGATGAAATATTGTGGATGGGGTGATATATTGGGGGGATATTCGGGCGAGATATTGGGGAAGGGTTGGGGTTGGGATGAGAAATTGGGAGAGGGTTGGGGTAATATATCAGGAGGGTCTGGGTTGAGATATTGGGGGGTGGGGGGGGATGATATCATGGGAGGGTAGATATCGGGCTGTGGATGGGGTGAGATATTGTGGGCGGTTGGGTTGAGATGTCGGGGGGGGGTTGGGGGTGATATATTGAGGAGGTTAGGGTGAGATATTGGGGGGTGCTTTTGGGGGCATTGGGGTGAGATATCAGGAGGGGTGCGGAGATGATATCGGGGGTGGGGTTAGATATCAGGGTGGAGTTGTGGTGAGATATTGGGTGGGGATAGAGAGGGTTAGGGTGACTGGTTCGGATGAAGAATACCCTTCGGCCCATCTGATCTCCTCATTCCA